TGCATTATAAAATGTATATTTGAATTTCGGACTTGAAAACAATTTATTTGCATTTACTGAATATGCTTAGGGTAGTTTTCTAGACCAGCAGTGAAAATCAAATGAGATGCTAATGTAGCATGTAAGTCTTTTAGTCTACTCACTACATAATCATTACAGACGCTAAGAATGTTGGCTCACAACATAACCAGTCTGATTGAATTAAAGTTCCATATCTATGTGCCGAAAGTTTATAGTAGTTTATGTAGTTCAGCATAAAGTTCTGACAAAGGACGGACAACTAAAATAGGCGGTAAATGCATGTGTATTGGGATAAAGTATGCGACTAAGCAAGCCAGGACGCATTCGTGTAGCTCTGCTAAGAAATGATTTTAGCCAAAAATCCACTTTTTCCGTCGTGTTGACTATTCGTCTCAGATTCCAGGAAAGATGGTCATTTTGGTTGGAATCACGAGAGCCAATTTATGGTGTAGCCCTCTGGAGTCTATGGAAAGACGACTTAAGAAATAACAATCCTGAATGCTGGGAGAAACTAGGGTGAGATCAATCTATCAGCTGTAGTCCTCATGTCTGTGAAGATGTACAAGCATCTCTCGAAATGGAACAATGCTCAATGATCTGTCTGGATTGATGGGCACCTTTCCACCGGTAGATTAGTCATGCTTAGTGTGAATCTTGCGGGGTATCAAATACACACAAAGTCAGCATGGTCACGGTTGATGAATTCACAATAAACTGCAAATTTCTCAACAGGACTGGATTGCACTTTGAACATACACTTTGCATAGACGAGCACTACTCACGCTGTCACCAGTAATACGGACAAATTTGGTGGAAAATATGAGTTTGCCTTATCCCCGTCAGTTTCACCGAAAATACGCCTTTCCCCGAAGGTCCCATCGGCCAAGTCGCCAGCTGGCAATGAGACTGAGTGAACGCGTGGTATTGTTTTGCAGCTCGACGAGTATGACATGGTCACAACTCCTTTTGTGAGCTGTAATGGGTCCGAGGCGAGGTCGAATCCGCAATCCCACAAGCAGCATTTGACACTGTGTGGCAAAGCTGAGCACAGATCAGGAGTGTAGCGAGACCTTCTGCTCAGATCTGTGTGGCTAATTATACTTTCACTCCCTTCATGACATGGGGGGATCCAAAGTGAGGATGATATCTCTTGCAAAATATCTGCTGATACTTTCTTCAGGTAAGCAGGGTAGCCCGAGTTGGAAAAATAAGGTTGCTTCGCAATTGGTTCTAACAGAGTGTTCGACCATCCGAATAAGTGTCATTAGCTCGTATTCGCTTCTGTACCCAATGTTGGTAGAGGGTGTGTATAAGGATATATGAAGGAGGACGACGAATTGGTGATGCTCCAAATCAAATCGAAGGACGTTTGCTGTTCTGACTTTTAAGTGATGAAGCACTAGAACCCATCTGGGCACGGTGTCCAAGGTTGATTAGAAGATGTTTTGTCATCTTCGGGGAACTGATCAGATGAAAAACTCAGCACATGACTGGCTTAATTAAGAATTTTCAAACTAGTGACAATAAATAGAATAAGGAGAATAGGAAAAGGATGCAAAAGAAGAAGAAAGAGAAAACGAAAGAGGAGAAGAAGAAGAAGAAGAAGAAAAAGGATACCAAGATGGTGTGATCTATAGGTTGGCTGCTGTATCCAGTTGCGGCATAGAAGAAGCTTGGTCCTCCGTTTGCAATTTATCTGTGCTGTCTCGAGGATTTTGCAAGAAAGTGTTTTGGCTTTGAAGACTTCCGTCATGTGACGGATAAATGTTCATTCTGTTTTGTATTGGAAAATATGGAGGATTGCCTTAAGCTAAGTGTCGTGGTAAAGTCAAAAGGTTGAATAACAACGACAATCAGCCATCATTTTCTGGTGAGATCATCATAAATGTTTGTTTTTATGTACTTTCGTGTCAAATGAGTTTGCCATATTCATGTCAATCCTGCCATAAACGGGGCTCGCTTCGAAAGAAAGACAAAAATAAGGACAAGAACAATAGCAAAAGCAAAAGCAAAAGCAAGAACAAGAACAGACACAGGAGGGATTGGAAGAAGAAGATCAAGATTATGTGGTCTCTTAGCTGATTACTCTTCTGCATTGCCGAATGCCTCGAAACATCCTACATGTTATAGTGATTATGGCATAGACACAGTTCTTTTTGATGGACTCAGATCTTTGACTCTACTCTACTCGAATCGGAGATTGACCTGCTGGCCAATAAACGATACCTTTCCTGTCAAACGAACCAGTTTGAGGCCCACAAAATTGCGACTATGCCGCAGCCGTCGGATGTGCCCACCTCCGGCCGGAGTGAAGAAGAAATCGGCCGAATAGAAAGACCGACTAGACTTAATCGCATTTCTCGACACCAAGTCGCATCGCGCATCAGTCAGTCTCTTGACTCTTTGAGTCCCCATCGCCTCTTCTCCCGATGCCCCCCAGCCTCAGCCGCCTCCCCTCTCCCACCTCTCCAGAGGCAGTGTCGGTCAGATCCGGCAAGGGAGCAATTGAATTATGCCAAGTAGACGAAAAGATGACGCGGCCAACCTGCATCCAAGCGTCCGACAGAAGAGGGCAGAAGAGTG